ATGTACTTTAACTCCTGTAAAAAACCATTTAAGTTAAGTTTAGACACTTAATCTCCAAAAAGATTAAAAAAAAGAAGCCAAAGTCTGAAGTTTTCCACTTTAATCTTTACGCTGGTACATGAAGTTGGAAGAGACCATACCACAGGACAGCGTTTTCTGGTGTATGCCTTGCGCTCTGCCCGCAACGTGCGACCCCCAGAGATAGACGTGGTCAGGGTGACACACGGCCTGCAATGAAGTTCCCGCTGGCGGGTACAAACAAGGTATAATGTCAGAGTTAGAAGATAACATTCTTGTTTTCCTTAAGTTGTACCCATTTCAGTACTTTACCTGTTAATAGTTCTAAAAAAGTTTAATTATTCCTCTAGACCTCCTGGTACACAAACAGAAAAACTCTTAAGTTTTTCTGTAATACTAAAAAAAGTGAGATAAGACTTTAAAGTTAAAGATCTATAGACACTTTAGGCAAAACAGACTCATAAAGCAATTAACAATTTAGTAAAAACAGGCTACATAATATGTTGTTTTTACTTAGATTTCATTTGTCTATTGATCTTTAAATTAAATTAGACATTTCAACTGGTTTCTTATACTCTTATACACACCTGTTTTCTCCAATGTCCTCCTCTAGTATGGCTGGTAATTATTTTGGTGATTGCCACCCCCTCGAGAAGCCTTGCCATAAGTGCTCTGTTGACCTATTTGGAAAAGATACAAATTTGGCTAAGTTTTTTATACAATGGTTTCTTCACAAACATTAAAAAGCTTTCAAATGTGTAAAACTTTACATGCTAAATATGAAAATATTCTTACTGGCCAGTAGTCATAAATCATATATCCTAGTACTTTTCCAAATCAGCATGATCTATTACTATAATCTCCTCATGATCATAATATACCTCAGAAACAACTCCAAATATTTAAAAATAGATGGAAAACCCATACACAAACAATTTCAGAATGGGAATGTACTTCAATACTGAATTTCAATACCATTGGTTTATGAAATTAAGTTAAATATTCTTACCACTGTAGTCTGCATATCCCTGTCCATATCCATAGTTCCCATAGTTATACCCAGTATAATCATATCCGCCATAGCCACTATAGTTCTGATCACCACCATAGGCACTATTGTAATTTCCATATCCTTGATCATAATAGTTATTAAATCCTTGGTTCCAGTTTTGGCCCTGACCTGAAACAATGCACAATGATTGTTAGGAAACCACTTCTGACCCCCAATTCTAACACAAAATGATGCGTTCTTGTCCCCTGCTCTGCAAATTTTAGAAGGCAGAATGGACCAAATATTGTTATCTACTGGATAGAATATGTTTTTACTGTTATTAGGGGGCAGAAAGTCTAATTGTGCCAGTATCAAGTTTCTAAATATAATGAATAATCAGTTATCATTTCCACTGAAGGTTAAGATATTAGGTCAACCTTAAGAACTTCTGAGAAAACCTATCACACCAAGTTTTGTCAAGTAATACTATTTCTCTACAAGTGATGACACTATGTCAAAAGTGGCCATTCTTAAACAGGTGAAACCAGCTAAGCTAATTTAAATAAAAAAGCAACCCCCTTTCCCTCAACTTGTCATTTTTTTCTATGTTGGAATAGCTTTAAAATTAATTCAACTTTGCTCTTTCTGGGCTTAGTCTTACTTAGTAGCATATAACTTAAACCCTGGAATCATTACCCAAGAAGTCTCACCTCGGCCACGACCCCTGGTACCACCTCGCCCACCAGCTGCAGCACCTCTTCCTCCTTTTTGTTGTTGCTGTTGCTGCCTATATACCTCTTTGGGCTGTGCAACTTTGATTTCACACTATAAACAAATTCCAAAACAAAATATACAGAATTTTACTGAAGTTTTAATATTAAAGCATTTTACTCTTCTCAAATTTGTTACTTTTTAAAAAAAATCCTCAAAATTTACATTCAATATATTTAAATAACTTTACCTTCCCAGAACCAATTTGATGATATCTGCTTTCTAACAATTTCTTTACTGGCTCTTCATCTGTATATGTGATAAAACAAAATCCTCTTCTTTCGTTTGTTTTTGTATCCATGGGAAGTTCAATATTTTCAATCTGCAATGAAGAGGCATGTTCAAGATCATCCAATAATAGTAAAAAGCTACCAAACTGTCTCAGAACACCAGGTAATTTCCTAAAAGACATCATTATTTTATCATTATTAGCTTAAAAAAGATTTGCTATATATGGAACATTAACAGTAAATTACCTTTTAATAGCCTTTTGTACCCAGTCCATACACTGATCACATCAAATATCTGGGTTTTGTGCAAAAGAAATTAGATATTGGTTTTTGTTACAGCACAGAAAGCAACAATTAATTTACAGTCACTGGAAGGCAGTTGAACAGTGACATAATTCTGTCTTCATGAAAAATATTAAGTGGTCCTACACAAACTTAACCAAGGATAAACATTTATGAACACACCCAATACAAGATACTTGTAAACATCAGCGCACCTCTCCAAAGGCTCCAAAATATTCTTTAATTTGTTCTTCAGAAGTATCTGGGCTCAATCCACCCACAAAAACCTTTTTAGGGGGTTCTTTCCCTTTCAAAGCTTTGGCCCTTTTGGGGTCTATCAATTTGCCATCCAGTTTGTGTTCTTTCAGTTCCAAAACCTAGAAGACAAATTTGTTGACAGCAATTAAACCCCATAAAAACTTGGGGGGGGGGGACACCAAAAGAGGCACAGTGCAGAACACATTCCTACCTTATCAACACTAGCAGCATCTTTAAAAAGCACAAATCCAAATCCTCTTGATCTTCCAGTGACTGGATCTGTTTTAATCGTACAGTCTACAACTTCCCCAAATCGAGACAAATATTCAGTCAGATCTTTCTTGCTCGTATCCCAGCTCAAGCCTCCAATAAACATTTTACTAGAAATAAAAGTTATTTTAAGTTTAGCAGTAACTTAAATGACTGCTTCACTCCTGGAATTAATCAAACTGTGAAATAAGCATAAGAAAATTTACACTAACTTCAAGCAACTTATTCTACTTTTACAGACACGAACAACTGACCACAAAAAATCTCGAAATTGCATCTAGGGCACCCAAACAGATTGCTTTCCACATGGTGTAATGCAAAGTTTAAAATGTGGCCAAGGTTCTGCCAGATTCCTCAAGRTCCGAAAATCCAACTTCCTGAACAGATCACTCACTCACAACTTTCATTAACTCTAGTACTCAGCTGTCACGCAAACATCCTACCTAAGAACTCAAATGCCACTCATCTATTAGCGCCAAAATCAAGAGTTTCTGAACTCGCTCCGGAAAAGCTGCGCGGGGCAGTAAAAGACAATGAAGAGGCGGCGGCAGCTGCAGCATGTGGTGCAGCTAGGCCGGCCCCTCCCCCCGGCCCCACGAGGCGCCTGCGCACTTGGAACTCCGAAGCAGCCGCCCTCCTCCTCCAACCCCTCTGCCCTTCCCCCACCCTCCGTGGGCCTCTCGAGTCATCCCCGCCGTCTTACTTTCCTCTTCCCTCCCAGCTACTGGGGCCCAGTGGGCACGCGGAGAATCGACTCGGGGCAAGAATGGGGGCAGCACGCGGCTCCCGAGGGACGAATGGCGCGTGCGGCGCGCTGGGGGAGGGGAGGAGAGAAGCGTGCGGTACCCGTCATCCTGCTGATTCTTGCTCGCGTTGATCTTGGATCCCTCTGCGAATTCTTCTATGTTGCTGTACTCGTTCATGTCCTCCATAGTGGCGGAGCTGTCGGCAGTGGGGTGCTGGCGCGCAGTCCTGGTCGCGGCGGCAGCRGCGGCGGAGCGTTGTATGGAGCTGGATTTAAAATGGCGGCGGAAGAGATCCGGGCGCCGCCTGCGCCCTCCCTTTATAGCCGCCCCGCCCGCCAATCGGGAGGGCTGCTGGGCGGTGACGTGGCGCTGGGTCCGGCGCGCCCCCTGCCGGGCGGAGCCGGCAGCGAGGGAAGGGAGGAGCGGGGCGAGCTGCCGTGGCGCCCTCGGCCGCCAATGGGAAATGCTACGGGAGGCTAAAGTAGCGGGAGCGGAGGGGAACAATGGCGGCGGCACATGGGAAAGCCGGGGCGGGACCTCCATCGCGGCCCTCCCGGTGAGGAAGGAGGGAGGGGACGCGGGCTTGGGATAAGAGAAGAATCAGATGAGAAAAATAAAGGGGCGAAAAGTCCTGGGGTCAGAAATCCCGAGCAGCGCCGTCGCGGGGCCACAGTCCTTCTTGCCTTGAGAGCCTTTTGTCTCTGGCGTCTGGTCCGGCCCACTCCTACCAAAGAACCATCAACCTGCCTTTTTGCGCCCTCGGTCCCCCTGTGCGGAGCTGCTGCGGCGGCTGCTCCTATCGACTAGCGCCGGGGCCGGACTGCTCCGGAAAAAGGCGGACTGCGCCCGGCGCTGGCGGCTGAGGCGGCGAGCGCGCTCGCCCGCCGCGCGCACGCGTGTTTCGTTCTCGCGCTGGCTGGAACAAGCCGAACAGGAAGGGCGCGCGCGGCGGCCCCTCCGGRCGGCGGCGCAACACCAGCGCCTCTTCCGCTACCACCTCAGGTGCCCAGGCCACGCGACGCGGCGGATCTCCCCCGCTGGTCGGCCGCAGCCGGGGTCCAGCACTGCCTCAGTGGCTAGCTGAGGACCCGAGGAGGGGTGGGGTCTGGTCAAATCACTGTAGATATGCAAGAGCCGAGGCAGTGGGCRGGGTGGGGGCTGGGTGCAGTAGAGGGCAAGGGGCACTCACATCCCCGGCGTGCCACTCGCGGGGCTCCTGTCTGCACGTGCCCCAGGCCTCTCCCACTCGTTCTACCAGTCTGCGGAGGGCGCGCGCGCGGCTCCCGCGTTCGCTTCTTTGTTCCCGCCCACGCCTGGCCCATTTTGACGGATCCCGTTCGAGGCAGGCTGGCGGCCAATCGGAGCTGCCGCCATTTCCTCCCCGCCTCTAGGAACCCACGAGAACCGCCCCTTTTCCTGCCCACGTGGTCTGGGCCTGCTTCGCTGCCTCGTTTAGTTCTGACCCCTGGACGGCGGTCCTCTCCACTTGCYAGTCCGCGGAGGTATCCTTTCCTGCGCGCTTCAGACCCCACGAGGTCCCCACCTCCGAGGTTGCTGCGGGGCTCTCGGAAGCCTGAGACTGTCTTGAGGCGCAGCCGGCGCCGCCCTCCACCCTCCCTACCAGCCTTCCGATTTCCGTGGTAACATCTGGGAGGGAAATGGTCGTGTTTTCGGTGCCCGCTGAAGTCACTGTGATCTTGTTAGATATCGAAGGTACCACAACCCCGATTGCTTTCGTGAAGGTGAGGGGCGGGGAAGTTACTTGTGCTAAAATACAATTGGAAATTTGAGTATTGCAGACTCTGCACTAGAAACCTGAAGCTTAGGAGAGGTGCAGCTTTACATCCTCTGGAATGGAGAAGAAGGAGGTTGCTTTGGATAACGGGCGTGCTTTCCTCATGGCACCATCTTCTCCGTCCTTGGTTCTTGCTCTTGGTTAGATGCAGCTGGATAGGAAGAGATGGTGGTGGTTGCAAAAAAAAAAAAAAGGCTCAGAGGGGCAAGACCCGTTATGCGTGTGCCTCGTCACCCCGCAGGTGAGCATCCTGATAGTTCTCTGTGGGGCCTGGCAAGGCTGCGGTCGTGATTTAGTGGTCCTTGAGGTCTGGTTCCTCAAAACGGAAACACCTAAATGTCAAGATGACATTCCTGGTAGCCTTGATATCTTGGGCGGTAATGGTCGCTCTTCGTTCCTTTCCTTGGCTGCTGTTAGTGACCCAGCTGCTCACTGGTATTTTATTCAACTAGGTTTTGTGGTTCACAGCACTGATTTATTGAACTACAAGACGCTTCTAGGTTCCGTGTATTTTCCTCAGAAAAACATGGAAGCTTGAAGCTTTTAGTCAAAGCATCCTCCTGTTAATCAACACTGTGCATGTAATCACAAGCTTACTCTTTTCATTATAGCAGGCTCCTTTCCTAAATGTATTCTAGTCGTCTGCCAGAATACATACCAAATGTTAGTATAATTTTTGAAAAAATGTCTCAGGCCATGATTTCTCTTTAATGATTCATTTCAAATACAAGTAYTAGAGATGCTTGGGAAAATATAGGAAAAACTTTTTGATTCGAGAAACAGCAACTTGTGTTTTAAATTCTATTTAAGTTTGTTTTTAAAAGAACCCGTGAAAAGTGATTTTTCTAGATGTAGGTTATATAAAATCTATATACACATTTAGGACTCCAGATGTCACAACTACTTAAAAAGTTTGGAAGAATTACAGTATTTTGACATCTTAAACAAAGATTCTGAAGAAATCTAGTTGGACATTTTTTCCAAGTATTTAATCACACCAAGGACGTCAGGATTGCCCAAATGCTAATAATTGTGTTGGCTTTCTTTTTTTCTTGTGACAGAATGCCTGATTTCTTGGTTTTCAGAGAAAAAAAATGATTCCTAATTTTTGTGGTTATAGTATATAGCTACTTTACTTAGCTTCATTGTGGCTCTCTTACTTTCTGCTGTCATCAGGAGATCAGGRTAGTAACAGATTTTTTTTATTAAATATGTACCATTCTTGGGGACTTTATTTGTGGAATAAAATGCCTCATACAATTCAGTTTTGTAACAAAGTTACAGATACCCTTCCCTACCTTTTCTTCCCCACTGCATAACTTTATGATAGCCACTTCTTGAAAACCTTATGACAAACTTATTCTAAATCTGAGAATTAAAATACCCTAGCAACCTAAATAAATTGATTTGAGTTTGACACTAGAACTCTGGTGGAGTAGCTCACGCCTGTAATCTCAGCGGCTCAGGAGGCTAAGGCAGGGGGATCCTGAGTTCAAAGCCAGCCTGAGCAGCTCAGCAAAGGCCCTATACAACTCAGCAAGACTCTGTCTCTAAATAAAAAATAGAAAAAAAAGGACTGGTGATGTGGCACAGAGGTTAAGCACCCCTGGATTAAATCCCAGGAGACTATTTTGAAACTCAAGGCAGGCTGCAAAAGAATGATACAGGAATGTTTAAAGGATAGATCATTAGTAATATTGTTAATGTTTTTGTTTACATATGATTTTATCAAAGCCACTATTTCCAAAAGTTTGTTCAGAAGAATGTTAGGTCCTTGGATGTTTATGGTAATTATGCAAATAAATCCATTTAATGTACCTTTGGGAATGCTAGTCTAAATGTGTTCAGCTAGATTTCTTAATTGCATGATTTCTCAGAGCTTTTGCGTGGTAATACATACGCACATACATGGTGTGTCTTGAGGATAATGGCTTTTTATAAATTTAATTGAAAAGAAACTTTAGCATAGTTTTTGCACACTTTTTTAAAGGACATTCTGAGTTGGATCCTTAAACTTGTAAGCATGGAACTGGGAGTTGAATGATGTTTTATGTGTTGAGCATATTATTAGTCAGATTAGGTATATGAACTTGCAGCCCTGCTTCCTGTGGAATGATGGAAGGAAACTGAGTACTGTACATATGTGGAATACATAATAACTCATTCTTAAAGATTATGATGAGTGTGTACTATTTACTAAGGCTTTAAAAAGTTGAACAGTTTGCCTGGGATTTGAACCAAAATTGTCTATTCGAGAACTCTTATTCTTTCCATTATTGAATGCAGTCTCTGTAATGAGACCACAGTGTTTGGACTTTTTTGCTTGGCTATTTTATATATTAAATAGCACAGTTGATATGAGAACACTTCAGTCAATATGAAGTACCATAAAAGTATATATTAACAAATCTCAACTTATGTCACCTCTTGGAAATAGGTTTAGTTACAGATCCTTGGACAAAATAAAGCCTTACCTTATTTGGGTGTTTGGTTCAACAGTGAGTGTTTACTGTAAAAATCAAGCATTGTCAGAAATTGCCTTTGAAGTACCCTTAGAAAGTGAATACTCTAGAGCTTGCCCATCTCTTTTTTTCTTTTTTTTARTTAGAGCTTAATGGTTTACATAGTTGTTGGGTTCATCCCAGCAAACTCAGACATACATGGAAATAGACTTCAGTTTCTCTACGTAAATCAAATGCAGCTCGTTTTTCCTTTATGGATGAAACATTCCTGCTTCTTCCCTTGAGCATCAGATGAAGTAGTTATTTTGGGATTTTGTGGTGATAAATGAATAATATGTCAATTATTAGCCACACACTGAACCACTCAGACTGTAAAAGACACTAGGGAACTGGGAATTGACTTGGGTAGAGGGGTAGACAGATTGCCAACACTGTTGTTATATTTTCCCTTTTTATTTTTTTGCTGAGTACTTGAAAGTGTTTGTGTGTACACACACACACACACACACATATACACAAATACAATGCCATGTAAGTACATAATGTAGTGCCAACAGTTCAGGATATCTTATGAGATGCCATAGAACCTTCCCGTTTGGGAAGTAATGTTCTCTGTTTAGTCGGTTGCTCTGTTAGGGTATGCCTTTAGCMCTAAGGTTCCAGGGAACATCAAACAGTGGTTGAACTTACCAGCTGTTACATCTTTCTCCCTCACCTCTTTTTTTTTCTTTTGCCATAGTGGGGATTGAACCCAAGGCCTCATTCATGCTAGGCAAGCACTCTACCATTGAGCCACATCCCTAGCCTTTTTAAAATTTTATTTTCAGATAAAATCTCAGTGAGTTGTCCAGGTTAGCTTCAAACTTGCAATCCTCCTGCCTCAGCCTCCCAAGTATATATTTTATTTTCTAAGTCATAAAATTTTCAGATTTATCTCTACTAATGCTATAACTGGCTAATTTCTCATAGAAGTTGATGATTGCAGGTCCTTTGTGAGAATCATTATGATTGATTGAGAGAAGAGCCAAAGTAGAACCCAACTTTATCTTTAGAGTTCCCACTGCATCTGCATCCTCAAAGTCACCAGCTCTGCACCTAATGGCAGGCTATGTATCTCTAGAGTTGCTTTTTTCTGCTACTGACTCTGATCTTTACAGTGTTGATTTCCCAACATTTTTTTGGTCATCAAATACAATTGCAGCAGGCACTGCCAATATAAATTTATGTATATATATCATTGTACTATTACTAAGTTTTAAAATAAAATGAGATGACACTCTAGTCAGAATGGTAGCTATTAAGAATACAAACAGTAAGAAGTCTTGGCCTGGATGTGAGGAAAAAGCCACACTCATACGTTGCTGATGAGACTGCAAAGTGGTACGGCCAATATAGTGACCTTATAAAAGATGAGATTACAATAATAAAAATGACTGTTGTTATAGTCTCGTATCCATTGTATCATCTTGCATGCCCCAGTGTATACACATACTATGGTGCAACCACTTGATCTTTGTCACTGGTGATGTAATATGCATTTTCTTTGTGCATTGTGTTATTCTAATGTTTTTAGTCTATGAATGAACTCCATCAACAGTCCTTGCAGTTATCCCATTGAGAAACCTGGGACTATTTCTGAATTTGGGGAAAATGATCTCTCATTCTCTATTTTTTTTTTAATATTTTTTTAGTTGTAGATGGACACAATATCTTTTTATTTTTTAATTTTTTTTTAGTTGTAATTGGACACAATGCCTTTACTTTATTTTTATGTGGTGTTGAGGATCAAACCCAGCAGCTCGCAYGTACTAGGAGAGCACTCTACCCCTGAGCCACAACCCCAGACCCTTTATTTATTTATTTCTATGTGGTGCTGAGGATCGAACCCAGTGCCTCACACCTGTGAGGCAGGCGCTCTACCCCTGAGCTTCAGCCCCAGCCCCAAAAATGCTCTATATTTAGAGTTAGTACATGTAACAATAGTTGTGATAGTCTATAAAGTTGCTATGAACACTGTTAATGAATACTGAATCTTTATTCCTAAGTTTCTGCAAGCCTCTGGTCATATTTTCAACTGATCAATGGTAACCTTATTTTACGTGTGTTTCTGTTTGTCTTATTTAGTATGTATTATTGATTTGTTAACAGTGAGTCACAGCCAATAGCACTGTAACTAATGCTTAAGCACAAAGCTTATCTAACATGTACTTTTTCCACAAGGTACCTCATAGCCTTCTTGAGTTGGAACTCTAGATAGTACTTTAGCACTTTGCTTCATTTGTAAGATTGTGGTGCTAATGGAGGATGGTAAGACAGTGGTTAGGAGCTGGAGTTTTAGCTTAGAGAACAAGGTGTTTGGCAAAGTTTTGAACAAGACTAAGGGGAAATACTGTTGCTATTATTACTATTGTTTTATTGGAAATATAACAGAAATGCCTGACAAACCAAAAATCTGATTTTTTTAATTTTTTGAGATGGGTTCTA